AGCGAAAACATCCTGGCCGAGGACAGGGAGGACGACAAGAAATGGTTCGAAGGTGCGTTGTGCCGCTCGCAGGAGTCGCTCCTTCAGTTCTACTGTTCTTAAAGAAAAGCAGTTTAAATATCTGGCAGTCCTGGCCGGGGGGATTTGGTACCTGGTCAGGGGATTACTTATAACTTACGTTAGCATACGTTTTTAAGTTTCTTTCAAATATATGCATATTTACTATCGGAAAAGGGTAAAACCCCCATGCTCCCTGTTGCTCTATCCAAGGTTGCTCTGGACTATGTTTTTTTCCCCATTAACATAGGTCTGCATTTACTATCTTTTAACAACTTGCTAATAGTATATTGATAATTTCAATGTATCAGCCAGCTAACCTTTCTTTATACTTTCTTTGCAAGTTCCTATTCCCAAGTCATTGTTGCAGTTCTTCCTGAACAATTCAGTGTTCTTCTTGCAATCTTAGTGTTCTGCATATGCATTATAACAAGAAACATTTAATAACTATAGTATCAGCTACGGCACGCTCTGCATGGTCCTTCCAAGTGCTAAGAAAAGGGTAGTCTTGAACCAGTAAAATAAAAGTGGGAAAGAAAAAAAAGCCTGTGCCTACTGAGTTTGTGAAAAGGCGGGGGAAACACGGCACTAAAAGTACTAAGTTACAACACAATCTACTTCCCTTTAGGTCTAGAGTCTCGTTTCAAGAACAAATCAAGCTACATGCGACACAGTTGTGAAAGCAGAATACGAAGCTACATGAAAGAGGTAAAAGTTTCTGTTAAGTAACTTATTTTCAAGCTCCTAGTAAAAAGAATTCTGTTTCCACATATATATAAAACGCTTTTACAGTGCAACATACTGATTGTAGAAGAAAGCCTCAGGCTGCCACAGGCACCAAGGAGTGATTGTTGGGGTTTCTCTCTCCCTCTAGGTTAGTAGTTTTATTTCAAATGTTGATCCTACAGCAAGAGATGCATATAAAGCGATAATTGACCTGATGTCAGAGAAACTGAAGTCTGTGAAGTATAACGGATGCTACTTTGACAGAAGAGAGGAGGAGGCAGTCCGCCTCTGCACTACGGAGGGATGGTTCTCCTGTCAGGTAAGTTCAGCCCTGCCTAAAACAGAGAGTCTTGGTTCCAACAAACGGTGGTGTGTCTTGTAGCGACACGGGAGGAAGGAAACGGTTACTGGGATGCTTGTGTAGTGCAGCATCAGGCTTGGCGGGGTCATGTCATGGCACACGTGATCTGTCTTCGGTTGGTCATAGCAAGTGGAAGGACCGTGCTGGGGTGACGAGCGGTACACCTTTCATTGTAGCCATCTTGTTTTACAGGGACCTTTTGACAGGGATGACTGCCCATGTAAGCACTCTATCAACCCCTACAGCAACAGGGAAAGCAGAATCCTCTTCAGTACCTGGAATCTTGATCACATGTATGTACAAAGTATTAATCCAAACTTGCCCGCATCGTGCGCTTCATCTTGGGCAGGAAAGGTACCGCCATTGAGTCTTTGCCCCCCCACAGCCTGCAGTTAGCTCCACTACAAATAGTGCATTGTGATAAAAGATGCCTGGATGCTGCAGCTGTTTCTGATAACATAAAGTCCTGAAGACAGATTATAATGTCATCTCTCATTAGTTGCTTTGCTTCTGTTCAGATTTTCTTTGTATGGAAACACACCCCTCCTCACCACGTTATCCTTTGTGAAGGCTCCTCTCTGGCAAAAACCCATTTTTAGGCATTGTGCACTTGTGAAGCAAGCAGGATTTGCTAAACTAATTTCCTCAGGATAAAAAAAAATAAAATCATAAACCTAGTTATGGTGAAAGAATTCAAATTCCACCTGGCTCTGAAAGGAAGATGGAGACTTATTATGAAAAAACTGTTGATGGCAATATTGTTTTCTCTTTTGTGTATTGAAGAATAGAGAAGAAACGTGCTGTTGTCCCAGAACTGGCAGAAGCTGTCAAAACACGAGATGGAAGAGAAGTGAACTGGGAATACTTCTATCAGCTGCTGTTTACCGTGGATAATTTAAAACTTGTTCATATTGCTTGCCATAAGAAAACCCATCATAATCTCAGCTGTGACAAAACTAAAATTTACAGAAAAAGGAAGCAAAACCACAAGATTTCATAGTGCTATCTCTGGAAGTGACTTCTGCTTTTTTCAAAATCATGTCACATGGTAGCATTTTTAAATAGCCCTAGTTTCTTAAAGAAAAACTTCTTTAGGAGTCCCTGGCAAAAGAGACTTGCTAAGTAATTCAGCTGCAATCTCACAACACATACATTCATATCATGCCTAATTCTACTCTCCCGCCTTCTCACTCACTATGAGCCTTCCTTCAATCGCACTGTGTGAAGTGCGATAAAATACAGCTGTGAGTCAGAGTAGAAAAATGAGGCCAGAGGCTGATTATGCCCTACGATCTCTTTCATGCCATGACAAATGTAGGCCCAAAACTCACAGTACACAGAAATGAAACTCAGACAAAACGTTTCTTAAAAACTAATCCAAGGGCATTTGTATACTCGTATTTCTCTGAACATGAGGCCAAACAAAGACTACTGTAGGGCAGTTATTTTGCTCCGTGCCTTTTCCAGGTAGGCAGGCACTGTCTTGCAGGAATGCCAAAGGGCGATTCAGCGCCAGAGCTGCCGGCTCTTCTGTGCCAAAATACCTGCACTCACCCACGACCACTCCATTCGCTGCTGCTTTAGACCTGCATCTCTTAGAAGGAAGAGGAAGGCCATGGCATAGCTTTGCTTTTACCACATTTGTTCTCTGTCAGCTTTCCCATTGATTTCCCTCTCCTTTCAGTTTCTGCCTCTTTAGCTTGAGTTTGCTTGAAGCAATACAAGCAACGTTACTGTATAATAATCGTGTTTACCTGCTGCTTTAGAGAATATTGCTTTCGTAAAACACTTCCTACCTCAGCTAACAAAATACAAATTGATCAATTTTTACTTGATTTTTTTAAAAAATAACAGCTGATAGCAAGTGGATTTCTAGGGACTGCCAGTGTGAATTACATGATTATTTTAATAAAAAAATGACCACAATCTTCCTGTGTGTGTATGTGGAAGCAAAGGTGCACAACTGGTGAATCAGGTGTAATACAGGATGGCCAATACAGACTAGAAAGACTGAGCACAGGGAAACGTGATTATTAATGGAGCGCTAGTCACGTACTGCTAGGTAAAGAACATCGCTAGGGAAGAGCCCTATATTCCCCGCTCTTCAAGCTCTTCCTTACCTGGGCAAATCCAGCTAGTGCACACGGGATTGCATTAGGACAGGATTGCTGTGTGAGCCATAACTTAGCTCGGTCTTGGGAATGCAGGAGCTTTGCTACAGAGAGTATCGATTTACTTTACTCAATTCCCCTCCCAAACATTTCAATGTGAAAAGTTAAGTAGGTGCTGCACGTTAAATACAGGATTTCTGATACCAATGCACTGAACTGATCGTTCCAAATTGCCTTACTGAATTTACGTCATCGGTAACTAAGACGGAAAGGCACACTACGCTGTTTTGACATTGGGGAAGGCATCACAGCTAAGATTCTGATGACAAACACAATGTCATCTGTATGGCACACTTCCTACAAACTGAAAATCACCATTTTGCACAGTGCTGAAACTAAAATGAATGTCTGTGTGAAGACATGTTTGCTATAAAGAGATGGTAGCAAACACGGCATTTAAGAAAAGCTGGGAGAGCTACTTCAAGATGGAGTTGTGCTGAAAACCATGAATATGCTATTAAAAAATTAGATTTTTCTGTGTTACAGAATTAGAGTGAAAAGGAGCCAAGAAGTATCGTTGACAGAAACAATGCATCAGCTGGAGTGGAAATGTGAATAAATTAACATGTCATGCATATACAATTTGTTTGGCTTACAACTTTTGAATGTTTAACAGGCTATAGCTGTAGAAATTAATATTTATTTAAACCATCTGCTGATAACATTTTCTTTATATTTTTAGAAATGTAGAAGAAACTATAACAATAAAGATCTGGAAGCTTATTGCATAATCACACTTTCAAAGAAGTATTATCATAAACATCGGGTGACTTAACAATTCCTGAAATCATCTGAGGTTGCTCATTATTTTTACAAAAATGCAGGCCAAAATAACAAATGTGGTTGACTGACCCATATCCTCAGCAATCTATACTCGTTCATCTACTGATCAAGTCCAACACCGAGAGATCCTTTATCACCACCAATGCATTTGTTTACAAAATTCCTACTCATAACCCATGGAAGTCAACTGAAAATACTGCACAGGCTGCATTACACAGCTATTACACAAGGCAATGCTTTTGGCCGCTCTGGTGGAAGAGGGAAGCAGTCAGCTTCACGTGGTGGTGGTTAGAGAACTGACACACAATAAAAACGTACTAAACTTCCAGAGGTTAACACCACTGAACTCACATTGACATCCACACATTTAGTTTTGCCAGCAGAACTGCTTTTTAGAGGTGTAATTGGTTCTGGTTTAGATGTAAACAATGCAACACAAGTACACAACAGAGGCCGGTGTGCCTCTTTGTACTGCGTAGTCAACTGGCTGTGTTACTAACTGCACACCACAATGGCAGACATCACAGAATTCGAAGAAAAATGACAGTGTTCTTAAATGGTTTTCTTGGCTATTTATAAAAAAGGAGTGAGACCAAATATTCACCCTAAATATGGGCTCAAATTATAAAAAAGCAGTAAGAACTTCTATTTTCCCTGATTTTTCCTAAATATCAATAGTAAAATGATAAGTTACAATTTATTTCCAAATCACTGAAAATTCAGTCAATCTTTGCCTCAGATAACCATGAGAGAATACTGTATCTGCCAATTCCGGAAAAACAAACTCTACCAGTTTCCTCTCTGAGAAAAGGCAAACGCAGACACCTTATGTTAGTGAAACAGCCAACCATCATTACGTGCAAAGAAAAAGAAAAAAGGTTTCATTTGTTTACTGTTTGTTGTTAGAAAACATCCTCTTCCTCCTCCTCCTCCTCATCTTCCTTTGCAATGAAATGTAGCCTTCTGAATTCTCGCCTGCTCATCGTCGTGCTTGGTAGTGCAACTGGTGGGAGATCCTTTAAGAAAAAGATAAAATCATTATGGAAAGTCTGTTGCGGCAAATGGCAGACCTCCTACCTTTTCAACAGTTCACACACTTCCACATCTGACAGGAGGCACCAACACACACCTCTTCACTTGGAAGCGGTGGCACAAACCTGTAGCTAAAGCAGAGAAGCTTTGAGGGGAGCTTGCCTGAACTCATCACAGCTCATGGTCAGAGGGCTGGAATTCTTTCCGCAGGCTTGCGGATTCAAAGAGGGTGAAGTGCTCCATGAACAAATCCTCACTACTCCTGCTAAATACCAACCGTGACTCCTGCTAAATACTAATCCTCATGAAATGCCTGAAAGGAGGCAGCATTACTTGCCCGAAGTTATACAACATTAAAGGCAGACCTGGGATTTGAATTTAAAGTTCTGGCATTTGATCAGTCCAAAAACAGAGGTGGCCAGAAAACAGCTTCCATTCCAAAGAATTACAATAAGTACAATAATCACAATAAAGAACCAATGACCAGCGAAAAACTATTTTGACAGAATACAGCTGTGTCTCCATAATACAGCTATGTATGTCTTCATGAGTAAAATTATCTATCTTATGGAATTGGACTAAACAATCTAAATAAGAAAGAAAATTTACATCTGAAATTAACTTAGCTGAGCAATTAATTTCATCTCTGATTGAGACAATTCTATCCAGGGGACAGGGATATGACTCCAGATGTGTACCAATACTGGTCAAGTTTGCCTACAATTTTGCGGCTAGCCTAATTTTATTGGAAGATGTGAGACTAAAGCGGAACAGAGCTGAGTCTGTAAAGTGTGAACAGACTGTCCTCATCTTACCTTTATAAACTCAACATCTCCAAAGAACCGGGCCACTGGCATTGGCTGGTTGCTGTCTTCATCCAAGAAAATGCTATTGTCTAGTTCTATCGGCTTCTCCGGGAGATCTCCATCCTCCAAGCTAGACCCATCCGAAAGTAAACTCTCACTGCTGCCCTCCTCTTCACTGCAGACATGATTGTGCAGATTTTCATCACTGCCAGTTTCTGACGGAGCACTGCTTGATTTCACTGCATGTGGCTTGAGAGAAACATTATCCTCCTTTTTCTGTTTCTCTTTGTTAGTCTCTGGAATGCTTTCACCTTTATTCTTTTGTATTACATTGCAGTCTCCTAGATCTTCTGAATGTTGATCCCCATCAGATGTTTTAGGCGTTTCCCTGAATCCAGCACTTCCACATGTAAGTCCTAGTTCTGATTTTAATAGACTGTTTTTTTCACATTTTAGCCTCTTTGAGGGTCGTCTGTCAGCCACTTTGTGTGAAGAAGGCTGTTAGAAAAAAGATAAGATCCTAAAGCTTACTTGAAATAAATAATATCATCGTATCTCTTTAGTTGCAAGGCGGGATGTAGAACAAGGCAAGTGGCACCTTGATCCAAAGCTACATCACTAACAAAAATAATTAGTAGAAAGTGCATGTGAAAAGAAGAACAGATAGCTTACATTAAACCACAATGTACAATCCATCACCAGTGGAAAGCTACTTCTCAAAACATATACTAGCACCGAATGTGGCTAATCACCGTTTTCATATTTTCTTAGGGATGCTGTAGATGGTAATTAATGTAGCAGAACGATCACCTGGTACAGCAAAGCGTCCCGCCGCTCGCTGGTGGCACAGCGCACTGGCTATCAGCCTGCCACCGCCTTTAAACAGCGAGGAACCCAAGAGCTGGCCCTGTAGCATACAAACATGCCCCTGCATTGTATTTTTGCACACAGGAGTCTAACACTGTGGCGGAAAGGCAGGAAAGGCGAAGAATTTACTAAAATTCCCTCATGGTGATGCTCGGTTTGTAACTGTTAACGATTTAGCTGCACCCCCAGGCCGTTGCGGCCCCGCGGCCCTCTCCCTCAGCCCCAGCCCGCCCCGGCTCTCCTACCGGGCTCGGCCTCCGGGGGCCGCCCCGCTCCTG